CCGGTGAACTAAGAACACGCTTATCTCCCTGAGCCTGGCCTTCATAATTCCATTCCATCACACTGATATTACTTACTTATTTAAATTGGGCATAGCAGCCCTCAAAGCCCCCAACTGAAACCAATAAAAAGCAGTAATATTAATCAATAGTTTAAATAATCTGTACAAAAAAATGTGTTTTTAAGATCTTTTAAAATGCTAATAATTAAGTCAGGCTCCTCATCTCTGCAGGGAGACGTTCCAAAAAACTGGGGCAGGAACAGATGAGGTTCAACCTCAAGATCCTTCCAAGTGAGCTCATGGCAACTGTAGATGAACCTCATTAAGAAGGCTCACAGTAGAATAGGGTAAAGCATGTTGCAGAAATGCATTTTGTTAAATTAATAGGCGCAGCTCTCTTGAGTAGACATTCATGTATGTAACGAACACACTTGTTGTAAAAGAAAAGCAGATCACTTCTACATGCGGACTTGAACCTAACCCTTATTGCACTCAGAATTATGCCATCTCATTAACTTGCTCCTGCAACTAACTTGCTGGAGTATCCGTTTGCTACAAGGCTACTGCTCCCATTGAGCCAATTCTTATTTTAGGCAGCAATCATCTGTTTCCTTTCTAAATGACGTATAATAAGGAAGGCAATTATAAGCTTCACCAAGGGGGACAATCTTGCTCAATAAAATAATTTTTCACTACGAAAAGAGCACCCCTTGGCTCAAGCAAACATTTTCAAAAACAATGTTCTTTTTGTTGATCACACGCTAAGGCCATCTCTCCAGTCCCATGAACAACCCTACCAGTTATGTTAGTTGATCTAAGGCAGATTTCCTACAGTAGTTCCCAAATGTCTTAGTGAGCAATAAAAAGACGAAAATATAAAAAAAGAATGTATGTGATGAGGGCACCTTCACTGCTTATTCTGCATTCCACTAAAATTATGTGTGTAGATTAAAGTTGATCAATTATACATCCTGAAAATTAAATTGCAACCTATAGTATAGACAACACCTGAAAGTTCAGCTGAACTTAATCATTTATCAGAAACACAAAGAGTTCTGAACATTTCTCCTGATACCTCCTTGCTTTTTGAGTATAAGAACTAATTTTGGAGGGGATGGGGAAAACCCCCCACTAAACCTTTTCTCCCAAGACATCCAAAACCCAAAATACAATGAGTACACAAGTCTCACTGAAGTTAACGAGGCCTTTGTTTGCAGTGAGAAGGCTCCTATATTTTGATGAGGTAAACAATCCAGCAAACTGGGTAATAGTAGCTCCATATTAATTCAGCATTCTAAACTAGATTGCTTGCCAACAGATTGTTGCTGAAGGATCCGCTGCTCCCTTTCCTCTTCAGCCTGCTCTTGCTCTTTCAGCTTTTCTTTTGGAGGAAGAATGCCTTTTTTACGCAAGATGTCATTCCACTCTGTATCTGCATTAGGATCCTGGAACACATAAAATTATAAGAGCACCATCACCAGATGCCAAAGTTACCACCTTATTCCTGCTTCCTCCACATTAAGAATACACCAACCTTAGTACAGAGTTTGAAGACTGTGTTTGAAAAGCATCAACTAAGATGGTGTATCACTGGCAAGGAAGAATGCCAAACCCCATGGTTATAACCCAATTTGCACATCTCAGCACAGATACAGTTTGTTTGCATGGTTAATGCAATATTTAAATTAATCCTATAGTATTCTGTAGAGAGAGACAATCAGGGAGACAATTCAGTTGAACCCAGAGGGACTTTTCTGTGCATGAGTAAACATCCAAACCTGATTCCATAAAATGTAAACAAAAGATTTAAAAAGCCTAGAAAAGCAACCATATAGCTAGAAGTAGTTAAGCTGCAGCACAAAAACATGCCTTTAAGATTCTACAAAAACAGCAATAATTTTCAGTCAACAGTTAAGTGTTTTCAGTAACATCTAAACATTTGCATGTGAAAGAAAAATAAAGACAGCAATGTAAGGGACCTATACCAGCATTATGCCTGCAAAATCATAATACTAACTACAAAAGGTCTGGAAAAGGACAGCATTAAGCATTCAATGGATGGAAATCAAGTCGCTTGTTCATTTCATAGTGTTTCTTTCTTATGGAGTCAAAAGACCTGCAGAAAACTAAAATGCTCATCCTTGACAGGCCAAATTACAAAAAAGTAAAATTCAGGTGATAACACTGAAAGGAAAGCCTATATGAAAACACACAAAAAAGAAAAAGATCAATTCTGGGACATTCTTTTATGTATTTATATGACTGAGCAAAAAACTGAACAGCCACAACAGTCATATAAGAGTTGACTTATAAGACTTGACATAAAAAAAAAAGGAGCTTCTTGGACTTTGAGCTACAATCAAGTGTAATATCATAACGAAAGATGCTGGTATGAGATATTATGGATGCAAGAATAAACCAAAATGTCTGTCCATCTCCCCAAGAAAGTTCACAACCTCTGAATGGCTGCTGAACAGCACTGCTGCTAGAAGACCTCATGACTCCTTCCAGGTTTTATGCAGGCAGGCAAACTATTCAGTCAGTACAGATAGTCCTTGCTTAACAACCACAATAGGGACCAGAAAATCTGTTAAGTGGGGCAGCTGTTAAGTGGGGTGGTTGTTAAGTGAGTCACACCCGATTTTAAGACCTTTTTTGCAGCAGTCATTAAACAAATCACCACAGCTGTTAAGCGAATCATGAAGTTCCCCATTGATTTTGCTTGCCGGAAGCTGGCTGGGAAGGTCACAAATGATCCTGTGACCCTGGGATGCTGCAACCGTCCTAAGTGCGAGCCGGTTGCCAAGTGCCCAGATCGCAATCACATGACCACAGGGGTGCTGCAACAGTTGTAAGTGCGAGGATTGGTTGTTAAGTCCCTTTGTTCAGCACTGCTGTAACTTTGAAGGGTCACTAAATGAATGGTTGTTAAGTGAGGATTACCTGTATTTGTTCTAATTAAATGCAATGAACTAGTCTGCTCATGATGCTAAGCCATAAAGAGTGGGTTTGAGTATATCTTTTTAAAAGAAACCACACTATGGGTCAATGCATTGTGTAAAGTTAGCCCGTCTCTTTGTGGGCAAAAATATAACCTAAAGGGTATAAACCTTTCTTTGGAGAACACACTGCTCCCCACTAAGTACAGAGTTACCAGGACTTGCAATGGAAGCATTAGCTCTCTCAATTTTGCACAGAACTGTCATGTTTGTCTAACAAAGGATTATTCTTGCAAGTTACCTGCATCCTTTTTATGTATAAAACTTGCAATGGGTAGAACCTTTATTTATAGGGGCTCAAAATACAAATCAGAAGCCTTTGAACAGTATGAATCTTTCCCTCATACAAAGGGGTGGCGGGGACAATTGTAGGGTAGGTCCACCTCTGTACTCCTTATGTCAAAGGTGAGCTTTTAAGGAGGGGGTCCTTTATTGCAGAAAGCGTTCCACATGATGCAGAACTCTGAATCGTTCGCCCAACAGTTAAAGTCTCCCTGCACTAACAAGGCCTGGGACTGGGGAGCCAGAGGTATGTTGTACAGACACTGCCCCTCTTCTAAGTTAAGTTCGTGCTAAGCTAATGAAAAACATCAGAAGATCATCAGTTCTAACTCACTGTACCACAGTAGCTGAACCATAAGATAATCCGTGAGGCCAGATGGGCAATTCCAGAGAGCCGTTCTTCCTTGAAACCAATTCAATGCCTGGCATGTATAACAGGGAGCCTGTGAGATGGTTACATTGTGTTTAGGGAGTTGGTCCATTTTCCTGGAGTCTTAATTCTATTTATGTTTACTTGTTTTTAATAGCCATTTATCCTTGTTTTAACTGTTTTGTTGCACGCTGCCCAGCATCGTGTTTCAGATGGAAACTTTAAAGGGTCATTTTACGAACTCTGCATGGCAGGTTTAAAGTCATTATACAGAACTGTAATTACATTACCCTGACAGCCCACTGGGGTTTGTGGCTTCAGGGCCCCCAAGCCATCTTCTCTAATCAACGAGGCCCCATCCGCAATTTGGCTATAAATAATTCTCATCTTTTCCCCTCCCTCTCCTTTACAGCAGGAAGGCAGTTAAAACGAAGCAAAGCCAGAGTTTATTCTTCCTCCTCCAAGCACGGGAGCAATTACTGCAAGAACTTAAAAGACTCGAAGTCTTTTACGAATACACGAAAAGCCCTCGCTTTTTACGCTTCTGCACCCGCATCCACGATGCCCGGAAAAACAGCCCTGGGCGCGGGCGCATGCGCACAGCGAACCCTCACCGAAAAGCGAGAAGATGGCTCGCTCCCCTTCGCAGCCGGGAGAGTCACCCCGTGCAGCTTGCGAGCCCGGTAGACCTCAAGCCTGGCCGCTTGGCGGTAGGAGAACTTCTGGGAGCCGAAGTCCACCTCTCTCCCAGTGGCCAAGCTCGAGAAACGCGGGGCTAAGCCGGCCCACCCTGGAAGGAAAAATCCAGCTAACCAAGCCCTTCTTCCGGGTTCCCAGCTCCCCTCCCTCGGAATCCCGACCCCTTTCACATACACCCGTGCGCGCGAGGGCTTTCCTCCTCCTCCTCCCCTCGGGGGCAACCGGCCCAGTTTGGCTAACCTGCATTTTGGGAAAAGGTCCTCTTGCTGCAGAGGCCGCGGAAAGGCCGAAAGGGCGGTGAATCCGGGCGGGTCAGTGGGAGGAGAAGCCCAGCGCGCGCCGCCCACGCGCTAGCAACACGCCCACCACCCGTCCTGACGTCTCCTTATTAAGGCTGATCCGGGCACTTTTCCCCGCCCGCGTGCGAACCGTCTGCGCTGCTGTGAGGGGTTATTGCAGCCGGCGGAGGGCCGCTCAGTGCTCGTATAAGGCGCTCTCCGAGAAATCTGCGTTTAACAGGATCGTCCACACTTTTTTTTTTAGCGTGCTTTGCGTTCAGCAGCTACGTGGATTCATAAGTCACGGCTCTGCCTTTATTTTCCTATTCGGACGCCGGAAGGCTCGCCTAGTTACTGGCTGAAGTGTGTTGCGCTAGCTGTACCCGTGTGTTTTTTATTTGATTTATAATGATATGCTGTTTTTTTGGTTCAGAGCGAACGCCGCCGTTACCCTCAGCTGCACGGACCTGTAAATGGAGTAAAAATAAATGCGAAGTAATTACATATCGACAGAAACATGAAACAGGGATTCGGGTCCCAAGAAAAGAGAATATCTGTAGCTCAGGGTTGAACTGTGGAGTCCTAGGTGCTCTCTGAGCCTGGTTGTTTGCTTGCAGACGTTTTACTACCCAACTAGGTAAGTGCTGATGATGTTACCTAGTTGGGTCATGAAACGTCTGCAAGCAAATAACCAGGCTCAGAACACCTAGGACTTGGTGGATTTGGGTATTGGTTATAAACTCTATTGTGCGTTTGAAGGTAATCTTCCAAAATGGGTTTCAAGCAATAGAAAAAATTAGAAATAAAAATGCAATAAATATTGTTAAAGTCCAAGATTTTTCCTACTAGGTAAGGGCCCTGTGGAGAGCGGAGGAGGGTAGGGGCTAATGAATGAGCTGGGTGTTCAAGGTACTGTGCTAACCCAAGCAATTAATTCAGAATAACAAATATGTCTCACTTTCTGGAAGCTATGTGGAAGCATCCATGGACTTTTCTTAGCAGCAGTACAGAAACAGTTTGCCATTGTCTTCTTCCCAGAAGTGGTTTGTTTGTTTTTCTTCCAACTTCCCAATTTCCAAATACTGTACTGCCCCTGCTTATCTTCTGAGCCTGGAGAACCTCAGGCTACCAGATCTGACTGCAAAATTCCAGGCCACCATTACATAGAGTTTGTCTGGATCAGTGTTTCTCAACCTTGGCTGGCTGGGGAATTCTGGGAGTTGAAGTCCACCCATCTTCAAGTGGCCAAGGTTGAGAAACACTGGTCTGGATTATTACATGCCAGATCTGTTAGCCCTGCAAGATCAGCCACAAACTTCCATCTATTCACACGTCAATAAACCATACGTTGGGAGTGAGTCTCCCTGAAATCAGTGGGATTTACTTTTGAGCAAGTGTGGATTAGATTGTGCCGATACTCAGTACCTTGCTTAAGTTTACTGTATTTGTCAAACGTATTGCTTCTTGGCTAAGATCTTGCGTGTGTGTGTGCTTAGTTTACTCTCTCCTCCCGTCACCTGAAAGAAAATGAAGTCTTAATGGAAATGTACCTTATGGCACTCTATGAGCAATAAATAACACATAATTGCCTTTTTAAGGAATAAATTTCCCTGTTCATGAAAGGAGAGATGGCTTCCTCATACCTAATGTTAGTTAAGTTACTACTTCCCAACAGCTGGGTTTGGAAGACACACTTACCCACAGTTTATGCAATTAAACCAGTTTTCTGGATTTGCATGACGTAGTGAGCCATAAAACACATGGGTTGCATTTGTGTTAAGCTAAAATGTGGTTAGCTAATTTGCACTTTAGTGTGTTGTGAAAATACAGCTTAAATGTAGAAATTAACTTTCAAAAGGTGAAATTATTATGGTAAACATCCTACTGATTATAAGGAAGTTTTCTCTTATAAGATTGGGGCTTGTAGTTTTATTACCAAGGAAAAACCAGCACAATTAAAATGAGTATTAATAGTGAAGTAGATGCAGCTGCTTGAATCCACACTAAATTCTAAATAGAGGGGTTTAAAAAGAGGCACCTGGTTCAAGCAAGTAGAAAGTATTTGGTTGTCTAGAGATATAAGACAGTAAAATAAGTAGTGAGTGATTTGGGATTTTTTTTATATATATAAATACTAAATCTGGTTTTGGCTTACTTGATATTACTTTGTAAAATAAGAGCATTATACTTATGCAGTTAGCTTTATATTGTAGAGAATGTTGAATTTTTAAAAAATTAGGATTAGGTAATGTTTTAGTAGAAATATATTGTATATATTAGCCAGAAACATCTGGCCTGTTCTGTAGCAGTTATCTAACTAGCAGCCTGGTGTAATAAAAATCTAATAGATTAATATTTTCTAGCTATACAAAGAAACCCACTGTTTTTTAATAGCCCACTTAATGCATTTTGCCAAATGGTGGTTTGTTTTATTCTGTAAACCATGATTAAATACAATTGGCTGAGTGCATATATATATATATTATATACATACACACTGAGCCAAAATCAAACAAGCCACTGTTGTGGTTTATAATGATACATGAACCAGGCCTCTGTAATTATTTCTACAGTATTGCTAAGTTTTGATTACTAATCAAGACTTTGATTCTTTAACTTGGGCATAAAAGAGATTTCATAGCTCTTATAGCAGAAGTAGCTACAAAGCATATTACATTCCTAGAATACGTTATGGTTCCACTATAAAATTGTACAACAGTTCCTGGGTTAAAAACAATGTTAAATTTTAATAATTTATCTTATTCTTGTTCTAATGCAGTTGATATCTTTAATGTCGTTCTGAAAATATTTGCCACCTTTTAACCCTATTCCCCGAGTTGACTGAACCTGATAACATCAATGGCAAAACTGTTCCATTTACCTTGATTACCTTTCCATGGAAAGATGGAAGGATTTGAAAAATATGACTTCTTTAACAGAAGTTAGTCTTTTATAGAGAGATGGTTAACCGGAGGATGTGGATCCAAATCTAACTTGTATTCATGCTTTAATGGCTAGCGCTTCAGTTTGTTAGCAGGAAAGTCTGTTACGCTCTGTTGAATTGCAAAGTTGAATTGTAGTAATGAAGAAAGGCCTTCTTCCCTGTTTCTAGGACCAGCATGTCAGGGCGTGGTAAGAAGCATCCAAAACCTGCACTGCCTGTCCGAACCACCAAGACTAAAAAGTCTGGCTTGCAGTTTTCTGTGTCCCGGATCGGGCGGTACCTGAGACAGGGCCATTATGCTGAAAGAGTCAGTCCTGGAGCCTCCGTGTACCTGGCAGCAGTCTTGGAGTACCTGACCGCAGAGGTCATGGAATTAGCTGGAAATGCTGCCCATCAGAACAAGAAGCAGCGGATTGGACCCCGCCATATCCAGCTGGCAATAAGGAATGACGAAGAGTTGAACAAGTTGTTTGCAAATGTGACCATTGCTGAAGGAGGGGTTCTGCCCAACATTCAAGCCCAGCTTCTTCCTAAGAAAACAGCACGGCCTAAAGAAGTCAAAGGGGATGGTCAGTCCCAGGAATTCTGAAACAGTCTACCATCTTCCGAGAACAGACTCTGCTAAAAGGGTATTACTGGAAATGTGTTCAGTTTGTAGCCGTTTCCACCACAGTTATCCCCCAATTATACATGGGGCAACACAGCCCTCAAAAGATGAAGGATGCCTGCCTAGCTATAACCTAAATGGCCTTTACTTCCTAATTGGGTGGAGAACTAGTGGCAAACATCTCTAACTATTTTCTCAGTGATCTCCTTTATAATATTGTGGGGCTCTTGATACAGAAGGCATAGCTGATGTCTTACATTAACCTAGCTATCAGGTTGACATCCTCCACATATGCAATTCTTCAAAGTGACAACTTCAGTGGTTTTTCCTGTTTTTTCACCCAGCCTATAAGTAAAATGATTGATGTTAGCAAAACCATTTTGATATTAATCATAGCATTCAAGGTTTTGCCCTTAAATTAGCACTGTAAATTTACTTACTTCCATTGAGGGTTATGTTTGTGAAATAGAACTGTAAACTAGTTATATTCTTCCTTGCCTTTATAGTCTCAGTTGTTATGATGTGGGGGACTATTTTGCTTTTACTTCATGTACCTTTAGGTTAGTTCCTCACTTATTAAGTGGTTATTTGTCATTGAATTCATAACTGATCAGAATGACAATTCTTATTCCTGATAGTTGGCCTCTTTCTAATACAATCCTTTTATGTATTTACTGTATTTATGAATGTAATTACTTGTTAATTAAAAATGTAATGCAAATGTGTTCAAAAAGAGCTTGTAACTCAAAAGCAGAATATATGCTTTTCATGCAGACGCTCCCAAGCTGAATCTCTGGTAATCATAGGTAGAGTTATAAACAGTACTGGGCTAGGTGGATCAATAATCATTTTCTCAAATTGTGCTAATCCATAATGTTGTTTGCTTGGTTCTGGTTAAGTATGTTGTGTGGATCCAACCTACTATGATTTTTAAACAAACGATGGCTTGGTACTAAGTGAATCCTGGCAATGTAAGATATATTAAATCATATATATATAAAATAAATGATGGGCTGCTATATAAATGTGACATATACATAAATAAGGCAATTTCCTATTTCCATATACTTCATTGAGCTAGGACTAGCTGCATCTATTAGCCTATGAGCAGGTATCCACAGGTGAAGAGATAAATGTTGAACTTGGTATCAAAAGTAAATGGTAGCATCTCATAATTGCTTGATCCACATATGTATTTAGTAATGTTGGAATGATAGTGAACGTTTAAACCTATTTGGTGGGTACTGAGTGCTTTCATCATATTTACTGAACTCCAAATAACGTTTGAGTTATTGTAAATTATAACATATAAATCTGTTAGATCCATAATACAACTTTAACCATGTGAGCCTGCTCCAATGACTAAATTGTAGTTGTTTCCAATAAATATGCAGTATTTAAGGTTTACAACTTCAATGTATGTAGTGGGGATGGAGATAAACTTAATTCAGTTTGCCTTTATCACCCATAACTTGAATTCCTATTTTTTTTAAGTGGCTAAGAATGCATTAGAAGAATTTGCCCTTGAAATCTATGCAATATACGCTCAGGGTATGGATTACCTAGATTGAAGTTTCTTGCAAGTAAATTCTGGAACCTCCATACTGACCTCTGTGAACAGAAACTAACATATTTGACCCTCATGCTAAATTTTATTTTTTAGTTTAGTTTACTATGTTTAACATTGTGGCTCCTTGATGAAGCTAAAATTGTACTTTGCTAGCCAAATACACTTTAAAATAGGATACTTTTCCCAGCCCTTGAAAATTAAACATGGTTGTCACTCTGTTGTTAATACCAGCCTGTGGTCACAATGCTGCAGATTGTCAGCATCATATCAGTTAACATTTATTCCAAGTGAAACATTATTTTGGGTCATGTACAGAGTCAAATTATCAGAGTCTCTTCCTCTTTCCTGGAAATAAGAAAATTTGAAGTTCTTTTAAATAAAGGCAGAAGCTGTAGCCCAAGGCTTGAAAAAAAGATTAGAGTTCTGTCTACCTTTTCAGTAAGCTTCAGGATCTGGAGGTTGAGTCATGGCAACTGGACTTTTCTTTTGGTTTGATACATTTTGCTGCTTGTCCAAGCAGCTTCTTCAGTCTAGAAAGT